GGGGCTTTTTTTTTTTTTTTTTGTCCCCTGCACAATGTGTCTTTTGTGAGGTTAATGCCATTCTGGGCTCTCGATAGCCCTGGACAATGGGAACTCTCCAGGAGCCTGCAGAGACTCTGGCTTTTTTCTTTCTTGATTTTTTTTTTTTTTTTTTTTTTTAAGGAAAGGATGAAACATTCCTACAGTCCAAACACAACTTCTACTTTGATTAAATAAATATTTATCTTTATTGTAGCCATTGTATATTTTTACCTTCAGTTTGTCCAGTTTCTGATTATTATTTTAAAATTTTCATTGGCAACAGTTAATCTTTTTTTTTTTTTTTCCCTTTCAGTCCCAAGTGCAGGTCAGTGTAAAATGTAGCTGACTGAAGGAAGACTGGTAAATTCTGAATTTTTCCATAACACGTCAGGTAAGGAAAATTGTTCAGACCCTCAGGAGTGTGTTTGCTTCCTGTTTATCTGTCTTCACAAATCTGCATAAATCTGTTTATTGTTTAAGGTGTAGTAGAATTAAATTTCTCCTTGTAGATCTTGAGAACTCACTGAAATGCTATGTGCTTAATTTCTTTTAAAAATGTGGACAGTACTAGAAGCGAAGTTGTAGCTTGTCTCTTACACAGAATGGTGCGGAGGAAGTCAGTATCTCTCCTGGTGCAGGCTATTTGGGGGAAATTCTGGATATAAATGTATTTCATGTTGCAATATAGAAAAATGTCAGCTTAATCTGGTAAATACTTATGCTAATTTCACTGAGTGAATTGTTATAAGGAGGAGAGGTACCAAGCTTGTATGATTGAATTATGCTTAGGCGATAATCCAGCATCTATATGGATTATTTTATGTACAAAATAAAAAAGAAAACAAAAACAAAGCCCAAGAAATTCAAAACCTAAATCCTTCATTCAGTTCGCAAGAGGGTAGAAAATTTTAGACCAATGTGTTTTGAAGATATGTACAGTAGGGGCAGAAAGTGGAATGTAGGCTAAATATTGCATTGATGTGTATCTCTCTCTGCCTCCTGCTCAAAGGAATGGATACATACATATATAAACACAAGGATATATGCGTAACTGGATACATATACATCTGAATGACTTTGGATGTCTTTACGTGTGTGTGTGAATCCGTATGTGCACACAAATATACAAGGCGTACCTAAATGCAGGTACAGTACAGAGCTCTGTGTTTTCTCTCTTCTCTCTCTCTCTCTCTCTTTCTCTCTCTCTCTTTCTCTCTCTCTCTCGCTGGGGCTTTTTTGTTTCCAAATCTGTTTGAAGTTACTTTTTTGCAAATATAACATGGAAGTGTTGGTTTAATGATGAAGATGTGGATGTTGAATTGGAGTAAGAACCTGCTCCCCTGCGATTCTCAGAATCTGGGGTTGCAATGTGAGCAGCTATTATTTGGTCCAAGGTGCGCTGGGCCAGCCTTAAGGGGAAGGGGAGGAGAAGAGGGTCTTAGGAGATCTTACTTCCAAAGAGCCTAGCTCCTAGGCCCTGGGTTTTCTTCCTGCTGGGGGCTGGGGGAGGGGGGGGACACAAAAACAAAAAAGGGAAGAGAAAGAAAAAAGGAAACCCCGTGTGGAGCCTGGGGTGGTTGAAAGGACGCCTCTCGGTACAACTCGAGAGCTGGATCCGAGAGAAGGGTGGCGGGGTGAAGAATTGCGGATCCCCTTTTAAATGTGTATTGTTATTCTGAGCCCATTGTATGTACGTGTCGCTGCCCTTTCATTTGCCAAGACAACGTATGGATTCCATAAATGCAGACATGCCGGAGCGCATCTGTCTGGCTGGTTAACACGATCCAAACATCCCTCTTCGTTCCGCTAACTCCGGCTCTTCCTCGGGCTCCCCCGCAGCGCGCCCGGCTGCCCGGCCCGCGCCCCAGGCTCGCAGCGCCCCGCAGGCTCGCCCTTCTGTGG